CAATTACTTCGTTTACATGAAAATAATCGTAATTTTGTTGAAATTTCATTTGGAACGATCGATTTTTTACGCTAAAATTCAAATTACTTCACTTTTCTGTACCAATCGAATCAAGTAATTTCGTGATCAGCTTTTCTAATGATCGCCAATTATTATTATATGACTATATATTCATTCAGTTAGAAAGCAGTCTGACCGTGAGCAAGTTCCATATATTCACAACTCGAATCCACCGAAACGTCAAGATCAGATCAATTCAATGATGATGGAACTCAACGAAGATTCTGAGTGTCTAGCGGTTTAACCTTATGCGAAATTGTGAAGAAAGGAATGGCTCAACTTCAATCTATGTTGATTTCGCTTTGGCAATAAACAAATTCCGTTAGGAACTCTGATTACGGGGAGTCGCTGACAACTATTGTAACAATAAAGCAATGAAAATCCATTTTTAATGAACTGATTAGGTGTATTTGCAAATGTTCCAAAGAACATCCATACTTCATGCATAAACGATCAAGAAAGTGAAGTTTGTGGAAGACTCGATTACCAGTTACAATCGAATCAAGTGCATTTATACATCGAATTTTTCGTTCTATCTGAGGAATACTGCCATTCTTATTGCAACGACTGTTGCCGTTTTGATTTGATTTGGCTTTGGCAATTAACAATTTCCGTAAGAAAATCACAAACACTTCAAGAGAGCATAACAATAATAGAAGTAAAGTACTCACTTGGTCCATTACAACGTTCACACGTTTTTTTGCACAGTTCGCCCAAAGAAGTACCACATAAGTTGTGCGTCTTCACGTCTCTACAGTCCAGAACATCGTTGCGACACTGTTCCATATTATCCTCTTAACTAGTACCAATACCAAACATTATCAAAATAATCCGTGATTTTCCTCTTATGTCAACTTCCAGTTTATTATCGAAATTTTCTTCTCTATTTGGATATGTGCAAATCAGAAGAGATTATTCCGTATTAAAGACGAACATTTTTAGGTGAATATTCTTCAAATGTCATTTAAGTTCATTGAGTGTCAGTTCTAGTACGTAATAGATTATACCTACCTCCGTGGACTTCAAATACCCACAAAAATGTCAAGACAGCCATTGAAATGAAGCTCCACGAATGCATCACACTTGCTAAACGGACCTGAAATTCAATGCATTGAAAACATAAAAACACTGACAACGATAATAGATTAATTCCTTGGAATATCAAGCATGCTATCAAATAGAACAAATAATACTTGAATGTTAGCTTTGAATGAACGATCTCTAAGTGGAGTCAAGCTAGCTAGCAGTTCGAGATAACTAATAGTAAGAGTGTTCCGTAATACGAATAAAGCGATATCTTGGCTCATGTAGAAAATCGTAAAAAGCATGATTTCAAATATTCCAAAAGAATCACTTGAAAGTTTGAATTCTAATTGAGAATTTTGAAGATTTGATAAATTTTGTTCGTTTTTTGCTAGACGATATCAAACTTTGGTGTAGTTTATTGAAACGAAACGAACGAACAGCTATCGGTGGTGGAGCAGATCAAAACGAGACTGAACGCTCACTGTCTACCATAAAATTTTATAATGGCAAGATTTGTTTTCATCAACAGAAAGTGCATTGCTGGAGCTTGATCATGAGTAAATATTATCCGTTCTGAAGGCTAAAAGAACAATAGGTTTGAATAGGTATCATTCGAAACTAATAATAAATCGCACCACTGAGTAAACTGAAATTCTTCAGGGCCGTGCGCATTTAGTTTGTTTTCAATTCGATGAATGGGGCAGTCGACAATCATTTATGGGCAATCAAACTTTTCATAATGTCACAATGAAAATTACCTATTTTTGCAATGATCATCCGACGTTGTCGTTAGCATATTGCAGAAGAAACAATATGGACTGACGACTGACGTGATTGGGTACACGGGGCTCTGTTGAAATGTTGCAAATGAAACAATATGGACTGACGACTGACTTGATTGGGTACACGGATCTTTGTTCAAGTGTTGAAGTCAGAATGATAGGAACTGACGGTTGATGCAACCGGATAATATTGTGGTCCGGTAATGAATATGAGTAAATTATTAAATGACAATTGCAAATGAATATCAATATTAACTGACGATTGAATATGAGTAACAATATTAAGTGACGATTNATATTAATTGACGATTGATGAAAGCCGGATAATATTGAGGTCTGACAATGAATATGAATAAGTTAAACAGAACAATATTTTTCCTGCAACATGCACATCGCAATTCTCCTTCTTGTGAGACGTTTTAACTTTGCCTTTGATACAGCTTATTGGTGTAAACGTCTTTGTTACTCGTTTAATTGAAGCCTGCTTCTGAACAACGTGGGCATCTTTTCAAACATTTTTTATGGTTTTGGACTCACCAAGATGGTTCAGAGCTTTTCCATTTCTCTATATCTCCAAGCATTTCCTCGCTGATTGACGAAACGAGTATTATTCGCATAT